AATCAGGAAAACACCCTGGCACGGCGTGACGAAACAGCCTCCTGCCGTCCCTCTACCGCCAAACGCCACTCCTGAACGGAATAAAAAAAATCAAGGTTCTGGCAGGAATTCCACTGTTGGGGCACAGAGCTCCATTGTTCCAGGCACAGAAATCTGTGCACGGAGCACCAAAGACACTTCGAGCTGGGATCTCGGCAGGCAATTCCACTGTTGCAGGGGCACAGAAACCTGTGCACCGAGCACCAAAAACACTTCGGGGTGGGATTTCTAAATAAAGAAGCAGTAGCACACCTTATGGCCACAATTGATACAACAGAACATACCATTTCGGGGCGCGCTCCCCCTTGCTGCACCACGGGGTCGGCGGATAAACCAAAAAGCAATAGGCATCATCGATATGAACTGATCTTCACAAAGCTGGTTTTACATAGCGAAGCAATCGCAAGACTAAAGAATTTGCAACAACACTGAAGAAGGGCCGAAAGAGACTGTGAATCCAGTGACGTCCTCTAGTTGTTTTTTGCAAGATGGGGAGTGATGGGGCAGACGTTGGGGACGGGTGTGCTAGAAATTCAGGGCCCACGAGGAAGTATTGAAGGAGGTGTCCCTCTTACAAGTAGATCCCTGGTCATGCTTTCGTAGATCCCGCGTTTTGATCAGGACGTGCCGCTGAATTGGCAAAGCAAAGGCACAGACGAGCTGATTATTTTACTGCCAGCCATTCAGGCTGGGCCGAAGAGGTCTCTTAGCGTAGCTCTACCCAGGTCGTTGAAGACTTTTTGTAATTATAGGTTTGGGTGAGTTCTTGCAAGTGCTGATCCAGAGGGCAATTTCTGCCTTGAAGCCACCAGGAGCTTCATTTGCAAGCAAATAGAAAGACAACAAAAGGATCGTTGTTTTGCCGCCAGTTTTTCGCCCGGTCTCTTTAGGCCCATGTGGAGTTCTTGGAGCCTCCAGAGGAGCCCAAACAGGAGACCTTGGGAGTCTCAAGTGGCAGGGTTGAGTCATGAAACGCCACAAGATATACATGACCATCCCTTTGTAGAAGGGACAATGAAAACATGAAAACAGGGGACGTGCAAGAAGATTGAATCCAAAACAGATTCTCCAAGCCACTTTGATCTGGAAACCGGCATCAGGAGTTAACGCACCCGGAGCAGGAGAGGCTACTGGGAACCAGCTCTTCCGGCTGCAGTTGTGAGGGGTGTGCGGAACGAGTTTTGCGTACTTGGTTCGCCTGAACTGCCTGGAAGTAGCAGAAGTATAAGGGAGTACAGCAAGTCAAGAACAAAGAACACATGTGAGATCCTCCCAAGTAGGAATCTTCAGGGTTTGTGATAAACTTCTACCACAGTTCGGGAATGCAGACCAAGACAAAACCATCTCTTTTTAGGGATCTTGATTAGCTCTGTCAATTCCACACATTGTTGGTCATTGTTAGTACTATCATATATCAACCAGCATGACCATGCTGCCACTGACCAAGTAAACCTACTTATTGTATCTTACTGTCACTCAAATCCTTGCCTGCAGATGTGAGAGCTTTCCTGACCTTGGGTGTCCAATCCATCCTTATGGACCACCCTTCCATCCGCGCCACCGGGTCGGACCGGTCCCGTCCCGTGTCCGTCGCGCACACCGTCAGGTCGCCCGGCCGGCTCCATCACTTCGGCCTCGCCGGCCCATTCGGTCACGAGCACGCGGAAGAGCAGCAAGGAGAAACACCACGAGCACGAGGCGACGTGGAACGAACGACGTGCAGAACGGAACGAGAATGGGAAGCAGTTTGGATGGAGATGTTGGGAGGACATAACAGCGAAATCAGATCAGGTGGAAGGGTGGTTCCCCACCTGACAGGATTGAGGTAGCTAGGTTTTAGAGGATCACCGGGTCAGAACAATGTTTGTTCAAGGGGGTGTGTGTACCCCCCCCCCCCACGTCGTCATATACATGTCCCGGTCTCCAGAGGTCATTCCCAGGGAAGTGATTTCATACATATTTTCTCTACTTGGAAGAGAGAGATCATTTGTTTTGCTGTCTTTTCTCACATGGAGAGGCTGAGAGGCCGAGAGGTCACGGAAGTGTCACAAGAGATGAGCCGGTTTTTAAATTTTGCCTTGGTCTCTTGGTGATTCTTTGTGTTGTCATGTCTTTCAGATGTTTGTGAAAGCTTTGTAGGGTGGTGACCGCGTGTATATGTGCCTCAAAATGTTGTGCACCACTAGAGGCAGAGTGACTTGCTTCCTTGTGAGGAAGAGGACCAGGTCAGAATTCCTGGCGCACTCAATGATGATGAGGGAGCAGTCACAATGCAAGCTTCATTATCACTTTCCTTGCCCTTTCCAAAATAACGAAAATATGAAATCAAATGATTTTAGAAGAACATGTTTTTTCCGATAATCGAGAATATCCGAATTGCGATAATATCAAATTCATTTTATCACGAAAGGTAGCCTGGTAAGGACTACCTTGAGTTTGCTTTGCGAAGCAACGGGACTGGCTTGAGAGCCTGCTCGGGACTAAAGATTGGTAGATCAATGTCTAACACCCCCACCCCCCCGTCCCCCCCTCCCATGTGATGATTAATTGATAAATCAATTGTTTTGCACCCCACCCCCCCCTCCACTCCCCTCCACTCCCCTCCCCGTC